CTGAATGAGATCTGGCGTAGGGGCACATACTGCCGGCCGTGGGCCCACAGAGCTCTGCAAGGGCCCCCCACACACACATACACACCTACTGCTTTAATAGGGAGACTCTAAATTGTTGAGCAAAGAAGGCTTCTTCAATGTATCATTGGACAGTGGGACAAAGGTGCACACAAGGAGAGACAGGCATCTGTGCACATTAACACTCCAGCATGCACAGAAACATGGTAACTGTCAGAGGCCTTCTGCACATCAGAACACTTGCCTGGTGAAGTGCCGGAAGAGATTCTCTTATGTACAGATCGCCAAAATTGTACACATGAAAAAGATGCATGTATCATACAACAACAACAAAATTCCATTACGTCCATCTATGAAGCCTATTAACGGGAGCTTATTGTAGTTTTATTTCAGTGAATGATTTTGTACTCTAATGCCTTGCAATCAATTTAATTCAAATGTATTTCCATATCCCCAAACCGACAATTAGGCCCAAACCACTGATTGTTGGTGCTGGTTCTCTGTTTTGAAAAACCCATAAGGCTGCTTTCCTGGGGCAAGTACAAACCATCTCCAGGTGACCAGGCAGGGAAACTTTATAAAAAGTTTTCTCCTTTTAACAATCAATCAGCATAGCTGTGGATGGTGGCAGGCAAACTAGATATACTCTTTGTGGACTAGTAACTTTTGTAGACTTCCTTGAGAGGCGCTGGACTTTTATTTATTGTGGGTTGCAGTACATTGTTTTAGTGTTTAATTTTAATTACATGGTGCCTTTGAGAGCCTTGATGAAATAAAATGGTCTAGACCGGTTAATATAGAGATAATATAATCCAGGAATCTTTTGAAAGATGAGTGTAATAGCTAAACAGCTTAATTTACAAGTGATCTTGTTATTGTTAGAAGAAATACCTTTATTATGTATACTATCCCACCTTTTCCATAGAACACTGTTCTTTTTTCATTCTCTGTTTTGGCTCTGATGTGAGCTTGTAACAATTACAAAAATTAAACAAGCGTGCCCTTCTATTGCAGAGTGTCATCATTCAAGATCTGCCCGCTACCGGTTAATCAATGAAAGCTTTCATTCAAAATCTGTTGCTAAAAAATTGTTCTAGCCATGACAGAAAGTTTTGGTAGCAGAATGGATGAAGAGTTCTGAACCAGCTGTAACCTTGCACAGTTTGGGTATTTAGGCTGGTCCTAATAAAAGTTATTCTGTGATGTCTGTGTTTGTAATTTTCTTGGATCAATACAATCTATCCTTAAAAATGATGTTTACAGCTTAAAAAAAGCTAGCACAATCAGTGTGCATGACTCTTGACAACATGAGCTGACAACACTAGTCTGTCCCATGGTGCATACAGCGGCAAAAGCATTCTCATGTACATACAGCTTGTGGAAGGGTACATGCATTGCATATCTAAGATTCGACTCGAGTTTAAAAAGGATTTTGGGTGTGGGAAAGACCTTTCTCTGCCTGAGATCCTGGAGATCAGCTGCCAGAGTAGGCAATGCTAAGCTAAGGTCCCAGAGTCACATGGAGAATTTGCCGTGCGAGAGGCATGACTGCTGGGCGGATTAAAAGGCTGCAATCATACGGCAACATCTGGCAAGCGTCACGCCCTTGTCTCCAACCCGTAGCGTCTGGCCGAAGATGCGGAGTCAAAAAGTAGCTGGAAAAGTGTAGTATTATCCGGAAAACGTGGGGTACGGGTGGGCGTCTGATCGTGGAAGCGCTGGTATCCCATCGCATCCGGTGCCCTCTGTATCCCACGAGATGTTTTCTTGTAAGCCTCTGTGGTATGCGCACAAATGCGCACGTGCACAAACGCGGTACTGCTTCGTTGCCACGCTTCGCCATCGCCGTGTGATCGGTGGCTGACGGCCTGAGCACGGAGCCTCGGGGGAACATCGGATCATGATACCGCGCTTCATTTTGCTCCAGAGCAAAAAGCCTCACTCCCCACCCCCCGGGGCCTCAATGGTCTAATGGTAAAGCAGCTTCATTTTAGGGGTGTATGGAATACACCCTCTTCAATTTATTTTTGGTTTAGAATGTTGTTCTAGGTGAAACTTTTCATTTCACCCATTTGCGTTGTGTTCCCCATTCATTTGTTTATTTTATGCCATTTCTATGCCAAAATAGTGTTTAAAAAAATGTGTGAGTTGAATGGGCAAAATCCAGTGCCCGGAAACAGAATATGGCAGGTAACTAAAGGCTCACAACTTCATTTTGTACAAGGGAGAAACAAAACTGAAATGGAGTTTTTCAAGTTGGAGTGGAAAGGAGGAGATATTTGAAATCACCCTCCTTCCTACGTGATGCACACAACACCAGCACAGGAATCTCTGGACGAGGCAACATCCTGGGTGTAATCCAGAAGTGACTAAAGGAGAGTTTGTGCATGGCATGCTCATTGCCTGAGGACTGCAACATTAAGCGAATTGCTCACATGTTCACATGCACAAACCCTACTACTTATTTTCTTTTCCCCTTTAAATGCATATGATCACAAAATCACAGCAAGTGGGACACGAACAAGGGGGGAGATTTTAAATATGCATTCACAAGGGGTTAGAAGGTTGGAATCCCATCCCTGTGTCTTATTAAAAATGGGAATTCTGGCCCATATTTAGAGTGATGTACATATGCTGCGATAAAGGGTTGGACTTTATCTCAGGACACATAAAAAAGCAGTGCGTGAGTGTAAAGTAAGTTGCAGCTGATTTATAGCGACCCACTCAGAGTTTTCAAGGCAAGAGACAAACTGACGTGGCTTGCCCTTGGCTTCCTCTTCCTAGCCACCCTGGAATTCCTTGGTGGTCTCCAAATACTAACGAAGGCCGCCGGCATTTAGCTTCCGAGATCTCATAGATTGGGCTAAGCTGGGCCATCCAGGTCAAGGCAAAACTAGCTGTACCAGAGCCAAAATCAGAAGCTGCCTTTATGGGCAAATACATTAATACCCAATTTAATTTGTCCCTTTTGGAAAGAGGCCCTAAGCAAGCAGTTAGAAGTTGTTTACAGCTGTGTTGGTCCAGAAGTAAAATCCAAAACACAATCTACGCAATACCTTAGTACCAGCCCAATGAAATTTAACAGCCACTGGTAACCAAACGCTGGAGATCTGATCTCCTGGTCTCTTCCGCCCTCTGCTGGTGCCAGTTAGCAGAGAAGAGAGATTCGGCTGGTGGGATCTTAAAGGGCGGGGGATTAGTTTTGCATGGTTCCGCCTTTTTTCTGCCCAGGTATCTGCCCTTTGAGGACACGCTTCAAGCACCTGGCAAAGCAGGCTGTACTCAACGAAAGCTTCAGCCACAATTAATCGGTCTTCAAGGTGCCGCGAGACGCCATTTCCTTTCTGCCCTGCAGAATTTGTTTTCCACCTCAGTGTAAAAGATCCGGGAGCTGGCAGTGGTTATGCAATTGGTAAAATGTTTTGGGCTGTTATTCTTTATTCATGTGATCTCCAGGCAAATTGGGCATGGGGGGCGCTGTTGATACCCTTTTGACCTTGGGATCATCACACACAAAACCAAAACACTTCAGAGCCAGCTCTGGCTGCTTTTGTTTGTTTAGCTTTTGTATTCTATGCAATCGCTTTGGACCCAACTAACCCTGGAGTTTCTCATGATGCAACATGGGTGTCAGCAGAGGAGGTATGTGTCTGTTTGGAGAGAAACTGAGTTGGCTGAAGGTGAAGCATTTTTGGGTCACGGGCTCTATGGACTCTGTCTCTTTTTCTCTTTTGTTGGCTCTGCTGCCCCTTTGTCTCCACCTGCCGCTGTATATTTATAAATAAAGCAAGTATTACAACGACACCATAAATCTCCAGTATTCCAAAGCTGGAATTGCTTCCACTGGAATCTCTTGCCACTGAGGGCAGTGAGGAAGACTGGTTTCAGCAGTGGGTTTGTGTTTAAACAGAGGGGTTAATTACCTTGGGCCTCTCTCTCTCTCTGAGGATCTATAGGAGCATCGCTCCCTATACCTGTGTTCTACTTGCATATGTATAAATAAGGGAAATGGTACAAAGCACCATCAGTTTCCCAGACAATCTTTTCCAAAGGAAACCAAACTCGAGAAATGTTGTACAACAAATTTAGAGTCCAATGGCACCTTTAAGACCAACAAAGGTTTATTCAAAGTATGAGCTTTCGTGTGCAATGACACATTATCACCTCTTGGGGCAGTGAGGAGCACACACAAGTGTGCACTATGCCCTTCAGTGTAGAAGACCATGTTTATTTGGGTTCTTGGTACATACAAGGAAGACTGAATTAAGATGGATGCTGATGTTCAGTTAGTTGCTTTCACATTTACTTGGTCTGCGATGGCAGTAGGTGGAGAAATTCCTCATCCCCTAGGAGGAAGGAAACAAATCAGTAATTGTGGCTGGCTTACACACAGAGACTGGAAGGCTTTCCATTCCTCCCTGTTCATTTAGACAGGAGCAAAATAATTCCCCCTCCCCCAGTGTATGTGGATGATCTGGGTGGGAATCCTGCTTAACAATCCCTTTCAAAAGTTCTTAAAGCCATGTTAGTTGTTATTCTGCTGGAGTGCGGAAAAAGTGCAGAATGTTCCATAAAGCACAGAGTTCAGCTTCTTGTAAAAATTAGCTTATCTTTCATCCCAGAGGCAAGTTTCTAACTCCTTTGTGTTGCAAACATTTGCTTGACTGTGTGTGCGTCAATAGCTGCTGAGATAGCTGAAGAGAGTTTGCGCAGTGGGGGAGAGTTTGCGCTTCAGAGTCATGCACTGCAGTGGTCCCTGCCCTGTCCCATAACTAAATGATGCAGAATAAGGAAAAACCATGTTAATTTGCATAGTGTAAAGAGATAGGAGAAAATGTAGTTTTCCTTAGCATGTGATTTCTTTAAAAGCACAAATTGCACATAAGGAACCTCCATGCTCAGAGACAGTATACCTCTAAGAATTATTCCTGCATGTGTGTGCTGCTTATAGATACACACAACCCTCTTTAAGGTTTTCTTCACTATTGGTTGAAGGAAGGGGAGTTGACCATACCTTCAGAGGGAATTCCACAATATTCTTTGCATTCTTTTTCATGGTAAAACTTGTTCCCGTTGCCCCCACACCCTTCAAAGGTCACACATTTGCCTCGGTTTGCATCAAAGGCCCAGTAAGTCACTTTACAAGGACCTCCAGGGACGATGGGGAGCCGGCAAGATGCTGCAGGGGAGAGAGAAGAGAGCATTGCACTGGACCAGTCATTTCCAGGATCTAGTGAAACTCAAACCCGGAACCTTTTGCTCTTATGTTTGGCATCTCTTCCTACCAGCTGATTGGCTAGCAACGTGCTGAGCGCATCTAGGCACAACACAGCCGTGTGCTGTTGGCGTGCACATAGGAAAAGACTTTCTTAAGTCTTTGAGTCTGGAAAGCTCTCCCTGTGGCGCTGCAGAAAGCAAACCTTCCCCTTTCTTGGGGGAATGAAATCAACCGGAGTTTCCAAGCCAAGTCGATCCCACCCACCTCAGTCCCAGCTGCCAGGTGAACAGCAGGGGAAGTCCGTCAGCTCCTGTGGGCTTCCTGGAGCTACCTGGCTGGCTGCCGGTAGTAACTGAAACCTGAATGAGAGTGACCTTTTGGCCTGATCCTGCTGGGGAATTCTGTTTTTCTCCTCCTGTCCAGATTTTTGTTCCCCATTTTTTGTCCAGATTGAAAGTTCCCCATTTCCCTTATTTGGCAAGGTGTGTTTATCTTGACATTGAAAGTCCCCCATTTCCCTTATTTGGCAAGGTGTGTTCAAAGCAGGGACATCACTTCCTGTATTCTTCTCTGTTGTGCTGAGAAGGACCTGCAGGCCCGAAGCAGCTGTTGCTATAGAAACTGATCGTATTGCCCATGACGGTGTCCAGCCGCCCTTAATAAAGACCGCTTCTCAGCTGTGAAATAGGAGGCCTAGCCAGGGCATTAATGCCCAGCCTCCTCCAGAGAAGCATGACCTGTCTCCAGTTATTGCCACTTGATTTCTTTTTCCCAGGAGGGAAATTGTGGGTGAAATTTTCACTCCACCTTCATCAAAATTCAGTGGCCGGATAAAAGACTCCCTGTAGGGTCTGCATCCTGCCTGCAGTTGGACTATGCCTGTGCTTCTTACCCTCGGTCCTGCACGTTTGAAGACAGGCCTTCTCTGAGCGGAAATTGTTGCCATTTCCAAGACAGCCGCCATAGATAAAGGTCTCGCAGGTGCGAGAAGTGGCATTGTAGAAATACCGAGTGGCTGAACCCAGGCAGGGGCCGGCATCCATGTTCAGTCGGCAGTAATCTGGAAGCATCAAAAGGCGAGACTTTAGGTGGAGCAGAGCAGCCATGGGTGATAACTTAAGGAATATCTCCAGGCCCCACCTGGAGGATGGTAACCCTGGTTGGAGAACAAGTGCGAGCGCTTATGTTCTTGTTCCCCAAATCCTGCAGAGGAGGGATTCTGTTTTGGAAACCCACCTTCTTTGTTGCCTAGCAAGGTGTTCAATGAACCATCGGCAGATCCTTCTTCCTCAAACAAAGTCGTTCTTCGAACTCTTGGCTGATGAAAGAAGCAGGAAATGGTGTCAGTGTTCTCAGCCATGGAACCACAGGTCACTGGGCAACCACCCGCAGCTGTTCTCTGCTTGCTTCCCCTCCACACCGTTTCTAGATCTGAGTTAGGAAGCCGGGCATGGCCCTGAAAGGTTGATTTCTGGAGGGTGGCTGGGATGCTTAAAGTGGGGCCAAGCTCCCCATCTCTTGTGGGTGGGGGGGGAATCCCCTGGGAACAGCAAGAGTCTAACAGTGAGGCTTTCACCTACCTGTGGTTCAGATTCACCTGCAGGAGGCACGCACTCCCCTAAGGAAAGAGATCAGTTTGAGAGGTATTACTGGAACGTAACAAAGGGCATTTTCTAGTAAGAGTCGGCCATTAGAAATCCTTGGGTCAAATCTGGCCCCCCCAAGGATGTGGTATGACCCCCCCTGTTATTCCCCCAACGTGCAGAGGAGCGGCATCTGTAGCAGGCGGTTATGACCACAGACCTCAGTGTTGGGTGTGTGTGTGTTCAATTTGAGTCCTTGGCCCATCACTGTCCTTCCCCTTCTCTGGAAAGACATCCAGCAGAGCTAATAGATGACCAAACTAATGGCCAAGAACAGGTGAGGCTTTTGCCCTGTGTGCCACTGTGAAGAAACGAACTTAAATCTTCTTTCATCATTAAAAGGCCAAGCTCCTTGTCCAGAAAATCCTAAATCCTGAACATGGGGTGAAATCCTGAACATGGGCCATTCAGTTTAGGGCACTCTACCTAAGCTTAAACATCCCAGAATGAAAAACCCTTCTATTACAGCCTCAAAGATGTGGCTTTTTGAGACTGCTAGCAATCTCACTCAAGCTGGCCATGTTCACACAAATTGGGTTTTCAGTGCCTGCTGTTTTGCTAGATGCAGTGGAGGTGAAAAAGATATCATAAGGAACTCTATAACTTCTTGAGTGATGTTATGAAAGTGACCCCATGCAGCAAGTTTGCCCCTTGGACTGCCTTGGGAACGATTCAAAAACTAAAACACCCCCCATGGGATGAGCCCAGGTCAATAGTTCAGATTGTATGCAGTTGTACAGGGGGAGTACAAACTCAAGTATCCTGCCTACTCAACACTTGTTATGGACTCTTAAAAGAGAGTATGTATTAAGTGCAGGGCTTTATTCCCAGGGGAATGCACTGGAACGGAGTTCCGGAACCTCTTTGACAAAATTCTTTTAAAAATGTTTAAAAGTTCATGAGTTTTCAGTATATAGATTGAAAACTTCATTTCCTTCTTATTTATTTATTTATTTATTTTATATCCCGCCTTCCCTGCCAGGGCAGGCTCAGGGTGGCTTACATAGAATGTATTGAACAACTAAAAGAGACGAATTGAATAAACTCACAACAATATAGTTATAAAAACATAACATAAAGTGCTAGTGCAGTTCGTATAACAATGGCAGGTATTAGGCACCTCTTTATCCAAAAAGAAAGCCCTGATTAAGTGTGTATGTCAAAGTCACAAATCCTCCTTGCTTAAAATTTGTACTGATAACATTGTTATCAATATATCTAATTCCAACATGGCCTCATCTGTAGATACTTAAATCTGGAGACTGGAGCCATGAATACAGATCTTTCTACAAACCTGAGAAAAGCTCTAGGTTTGCAGAAAAACATGGGGGGGAAAGGTGGGTGTCCCGTCCCCCCAAATAGAATAGCAGCACCTGTACTTTTAAGGAGGCAATGTCCTCTCAGTAGCTTTGGTGAGTGTTGCTAGGCAACCACAAGCATATTGCCAGCTTTCAAACCTTGCTTTCTGTCAACAAAAGGAAGGGGGAGAGCCTTTTCCAGGCCTATTTTGACCTCTCAGTCCACTCCTGTCCCCCTTCCTCCTGTCCTGGAGGGAGGATTCATCAGGGCCATAGCCAGCAGTAACCACTAGGCAATTTGCTAACATGCAATCTCTGCAAGTCATCCATGTGCAGTGTTGGGTACCAGATGATGCCACACAACTTGTCTGGGTCCAGTGGCTCTGTTCAGCTTGCAAGACTTGACTGGGCCTGGCAGCAGCTACCATACAAATCAGCTGAGCGACTTGCTACTACATGACTTTTGCAGCTTGGGCAGACTTTTCCCAGTGAGAGGCTATATGGGGAAGGGAAGGATGGAAAGCTGAGAGATAGTGTGGTGTAGTGGTTGGAGTGTCAGAATAGGTTCTGGGAGACCCAGGTTCAAATTTCTACTCTGCTATGGGAGCTTGCTGAATGACCTTGGGCCAGTCACACACTCTCAGTCTAATCTATCCCAGAAGGTTGTTGTGAGGATAGAATGGGAGACTGATATAAACTACTTTGGGTCCATTGGGGAGAAAGATGGGGTATGAATGAAGTAAATAAATAATAAAACTGAAAACTGCAGGGGGGGGGAGGAGATTGGATTTATACCCCATCCTTCACTTGGAGTCTCAGAGCGGTTTACAATCTTCGTCCCTTCCTCTCCCCATAACAGACACCCTGAGAGGTAGGTGAGGCTGAGAGAGCCCTGAGTGAACGGCTCTTGAGAGAACAGCTGTCAGAGAACTTTGACTGACCCAAGGTCACCCAGCAGCTGCATGTGGAGCCAGTTCTCTAGATTAGAGTCTGCTGCTCTTAACCACTACACCAAACTGGCTTGGTTGGTGTTAGAGAAATTTCGTTCATTATTAAAATACTGAGTAAGGATCCAACTTCCTCACAACCATTTGATTACTGAGCATGAGGTCGATTGATTACGTTCCTAATTAGTTTTCTATATTTATGATGCTTCTGTCCCTTCTCACACTCTTGCCCAAATTTTGTTAATTAACATCCCCAAACTTTAGACAACCATTTTCATGGTCATAGTGTGGGACTCTCTTATCTCTCTTTCAAGCTGTAGGGCTGTTTTTCTTTTTTGCCCTTCCCAGGAATTTGAAATGTTCTGTAAACAGCGGGTAGAGTGAACTATGTCTGGGAACTGAGAGTTACTGAAGTCTGTCCTTTTCTTTGATATAAAGGATGAACTCTTTTTGTACTCAAGATGCCAGTTTGTTGTTGAATGAACTGGTATCAGAATGAATTCATTCTTAAATAAAATTGCCCACTTTGCTAGTAGAAAATCCTTGAAGTTAGTTTTTTATCTCCCAGATAGACCTTGATAAAAGGAGGTGGGGGGGGAAATCCCTTAACAGTTGGAGAGTGGGAAGAAGACAAGGAAGCAGGTAAAAGGGAGAGGAAGTGGGGATTGCCAGGAGGTGAGAAAGAGGATATGGGGGGAAATGACATGACTGCCAAAAAACCACACTCTGAAAGGTTATCTTTTGAATGACTAATGATTACCAGCTTTCAAAGAAGCCTATCCCCCCAGGGCTGTCAGTGGGAAGACAAATGTCTTGTCCCTTTACTAGAGGTTTAATGCATAGAAACAGGCAGCTGTTTTTCATAACATGGAGAGAAATAGCATCATGTAGTAAATAACAGCCCATTAAATCTCTATTAAAGGGACAGGACATGTTTTTCAGGCCTGTTGGCAATTCCCCCCTCACCCCAATTGTGCCTCCTAACAGGCAAGAGACAGAACAATGACTTATGAAGAGATTTGACAGTCTACCTTGTGAGCAGGTAATTCTGTTTGTTGGGAGTGACAGAACGAACCAGTCATCCTCAGTGCAGAGAAGTGACAATTATCTACCCATAGCTGAGGCTAAATGGAAGATGGCCTGGCCAGAGCAGAGACTATGCATAAATGCAAGGGCAACCTCCACCGAGGTTGGCTACCTTAAGGTCACAGGAGATATTAACAAATTCATGACATTTCTTATTGACAGCAAAGTCTACTCTGGTATTTAGATTTTGATTATCGGATAATTAAGTCATAACAGGTGATCTTCAAATAAATGGTATAATTTGGTTTTTGTTCTTTGTGGAGTTTAGCCTTGGAGGCATCTAGTATTCCGCAACTTGCTGAAACACATCCCTCCCTTCAATGGAAATGCCATCGCCCCAGCCCCTGAGCTCACACCCTCCCTTAACCCGGGTTTGCCTTTATTAATCAGAGTGAAGATGGAGTCTTCAGGGATTCCCAGATCCAGAGAAAGCTGTCTAAACTCAGCCATGAGGTCCTCTCTCAGCTCTGGGCTTCTTCCTGAAAAGAAGAAACAGGTATATGTGATATATTGTTTGTCCTACATGTGGCTTTGGGGCTAGAGAGTGTTTGGGAGATCTGAGTTAAATCCTTACTCAGCTGTGAAGCTTACTGGAGGACATACAGAAGGTTCAGTACCTCTGGCATCTCTTTCAGCCTAAGAAATCTCAGAGCGTTTTATGAAGATAAAATGGGGTGGGGGGGAACCAAATGATAGAGATCAGTTCCCCTAGAGAAATGGCTGCTTTGGAGGGTGGAGCCCAGGGGTCGTTTCGTAGAAAAAGAGCTAGGGGAACTCATTAGCATAATTCATTAGCATATGCCACACCCCCTGACATCACCGGAGGTGTGTCATAAGGCCACACACCCTGACATCACTGGAAGTGTGTCATAAGGCCACACACCCCGCCCATGAGGGGCCCGGCGGTGGACCTGCAAGGCCGGCGGGAGTGCAAGGAAGCCCCGCGAAGGCCCTCCCTGGCCCCAGGCAGGCAGGGGTGGGGAGAGGCAGGGAGGAAGCAACTTACCCTCCCTCTTCTCCTGCCTCCTCCTGGCTGAATGAGGGCCGGAAGTGGGGCGGCCGGAAGCAGAGGGCGGGGCTTTGTCATGTGCCCCGCCCCTGTAGCTCACCCGGGGGAACTGCGATCCCTCGCGATCCCCCCCGAAATGACCTCTGGTGGAGCCTATGATGATATACTCTGCTGAGATCCCTCCCCTCCCCAAATCCTACCCTCCCCAAATTTCCAACGATTTCCCAACCCCACATTGGCAGTCCTAGGAGGGGAGATTTTGGCAAGAGATTTCACCTAGGTTTCATCTTTATACCGTAGGATTTGTCCTCTGAAGCTGTTATTTCCTCTGGGGGAACTGGTCTCTATGGTCTGGAGATCAGTTGTAACGCTGGGAGAACCTGGAGACGATCAAACCTAGAGAGCTAGTGCAATAGCATGCATGCTAATGAAGTTTTAAAAAGGCTTCCTCAAAAGGCAAAAACAGAGTCAAAACTGGGACCATGTTTTCCTAGGGAGAAGCAGGGCCGGTTCACCCACTAGGCGAACTAGGCATTTGCCTAGAGCGCCGGGCCCTGGATGGGGTGCCAAGCTGTTCCTCCCCCTCCCCCCTTTGGTGGTGGCGGGGCGGGGGGGGAGAGGCAGTGGCGGCGGCAGCAAAAGGGTGGCTGGCTCCAGAGGTCTCCAGGTCTCCAGGCCCCACCGGGAGGTTGGCATCTGCACCACAAGGTAGCCTCACGTAGGGTGCAGAAAAACCTCGAGCTTGAGACTTGGGAGAGCTAAGGCTAGAGTAGAGAATACTCTGTCAAGTGGACCAGTCAGACTCTATATAACACAGTTTCATGTCTTCACTTCGCTAGAAATTAAGATTGAGTGAATTGACCTGATCTTTTACAGCATCCTATAAGCTATGTGCCGTGCTACCCTTTAGGGTTTTCATACCATAAATCTTGGCCGTGGTGGTCAAGCCATGGGTGCTGTTCTTCTTTGTCACAAAGATGGCATATTCGTTGTAGTTGGTGTGAACCACAAAGGTCTCAATATTTGCATCCCATCCTAGAGCAGAAGAAAACATAGGGTGCCCTTGTAAGAAAAACTCTCTGGAAGAGGCTTAGTTGCTAGAACAATGCCACCTTTGATTCTGCGGTTACGTTGCAGGAACTGGATGCCAAACTCAACTTCCTGAGCATTTTATTTTTTTTAAACCCACATTTCTAGTCCTTATGACCACTAGCATAAACTTGAAAACCTGTGGTGTAATTTCAGAAGGTAGAGAGAACTCTGGGCAAGTTTTCTAGTAACTGGGGAGGGGAGAGTGGGTGTCATTCTCGCCCCTCCCAGTGATTAGTAGAAACCATGGTGGTACCACTTTTGAAAACTGCCTGGAGCTTGTTCAGGACACAGTGGTGATGACTTGTAGGTGTGAGTTATAGGGTCCCCGTCTCATCAGATCCAAAAGATATAGACCGGCTGCCATTTTGCTTCCAGGCACAAGTCAAAGACTGGTTATTAGTGACATGGTCCAAAACCAAGAACAAGATCCATGTAATACCTTTTGTTAGGACCAACCAAGCTGAATTGGTCTGGGAATGGGGTGTTTGAAGGATCTCCTGTCATGCAAACCCATCTGCTGATTGAGCCCTGCTCTGTATACCCTCACTTTCAAAGCACTCGGGATGGTTGCACAATCTGATTAGACTGCATTTTGCTGTTGAATCACACACACCCTCCCATTTATTGAGTTGAATCCTATTCCACAGCACTTTGCCCAGTAAGCAGTCCGGCCATGACAACTTGTGCTTCCAATGTCAACAGAAGCCATAGATGCTGGGAAAAATAAATTCAAAGTTCCACAAGAATGCACTTCTGCAGTCTTGCTCTTTAGTGATCTTGGGAACTGTGTCTCTGTGGCTGCCCTAACATGGCCTGACCCTTAGGGACATTATGGGGCTGCATTTACTGAACTGCAAGAGCAGTTAAATTCACTTCTTTAGCAGAAACTGTTTTCCGAGTCCTAATCGAGCTCTTTAGAGTATACCACTGCAAAGCAGAGAGTTTGATTAGCGCGAAGAGAACATTTTGTAAGTGCTAGAATAACTTCTGAGAACCTGGAACTGTGTTCTATGTGATTCTAGAACTCAATTAATGCTCTGAACATTTCAAATGGAACACACAAATGTATAAAATTCACAGCTTCTCCCTTCAGAATACCTGCAAGCAAGGCCCTGGTTCTTTCTTGGAAGTATTTCAAAAGCCCAGATTTGACTCATGCAGATACAAAACAGGCTGCCTCCGCTGAAGGCAAGCAGTTTCCCTCCATTTCTGCCTCTGAAGTGCTTGAATGCTTGTATCGTAACTAGCATGGAGACATGGCAGAATCATTCATCTTGATTGGAGGAATGATAATTCATGCAGAGATGCAGCAGGCAGCCTCTTCTGTGGGTGCACATTTATTTATTTTGTCTCCTGTCACATAGTTTGGGAATGTCCATGCTAGTTATAAATGTGTGCAGCTTGTACTAGTAATGCCTTTTGTTCTCTGTATCTGTCCAAGTCCAAAACAGGTTGTTGGGGGAATGCTACTCAGTTGTCACTAGGGAAGGAATGGCCATCCCTCTAGGTTTTTATATCGCTTGCACCTTCTTTCTAATTGTCATCATCATACAGTTGACATTCCTCCAGAGCTTGGAATGCCTACCTGCCAGATTAGGGCTGCAAAATATTACCCCAGTTCGGACTGTTGCCAGCAAATGGGAAAAACAGGCAGAATGTTTGCAGTTGGCTGGCAAAAGGTGCAGCTTTTTGAGGAGCTGCAAGTGAATGCCTGCTGGTGATCTTAGGGGACAGACAGTGCCACCCTAAGCAGAGTGGCACCCTTCTAAGCCCATGCACTGGAATGGACTCAGAAAGGTGTAACTCTGTTTAGGGTGGCACGGTGACGCTGCATTAGAGGCTAGCCGAGGGCCTGGCTTCCTGACTGCTCCCACCTATTCCACGTGTCTCTTTGTAAACATACGCATATTACAAAGACCCCAGAAGTCTCTCCACTAAGTTAACAGACTGTTTAAAAGCCTGAAACTTAGAAACTAGGGTTGTCAAAAAGCCTGGAGGGGAAAAAAAATCCTGTCCATTTAGTGAAGGCTTAATGGGATGATTGACCTCCATGCCATGAAACGTTTCGCCCATTTCCAAATGTTAAGTTTCCTATTAAAGGGCAGGACATTTTTCTCCAGGCCTGCTGAGAAGAGAGGAATGCAAACAACAAGTGTCAAACCTGTTGAAGAGTAAATGCAAGCATCTTGGTTGTCCCCGACCTACTTGAATTATAGTAGGTGAATTTCCCTGGAATGTCAGTCTTCTGGTATACTCCAGTGATCTGGGAACAGACACCTTGCCTGCAAAGGAAGAGGGGAGGTCAAATCTGAATTCTCCTTGTATCCTTAGACTATGTCCCATCTTTTTTTGCAATTTGTTTCATCCCCAAAACAGCAAGTGTGCGGCCTATACCTTATGTGATATAACAGCCCTTCTAGATAAGACCAAAGCATCCCGTTTTGCACATTGACCATTCAGATGCCTCCAAGAAGCCCATAGGCAGGGCATGAATGCAACACCCCCCCCATTGTTTTCCTGATGCAAATGGTTTTCAGAGGTACGCTGCCTTTGAATGGTGAGGGGTCCATTGAAACATCCATCCTAATATGTGTGGGTGGACTAATCCTCTATGAATTTGTTTAGTCTTATTTTAAAGCTGCTTGCTCCAGTAGCATCTTGTGACAGTGAGTTCCACAAGTTAATAATCCATTGGATAAAGAAATACTTCCTTTTGTCTGTCCTGAATCTACTGTCTAGCTACTTCATTTGATGAATCATTTTCTTTTGCTGCTTTCTCCCTACCAGGCATAATTTTATAGACCTTCACCTACCCTTTAGGTTTTTTTCTTATCCAAAGGGCCCCAAACTCTCAAGCCTTTCCTCCTAAGGAAAGTGCTTGAGTTCCTCACTCATTATAGATGCCCACTTCTGCCCATTTCCCAGCTCCACAATTTTCTTTTGGAGATGCAGTGAGCAGAACTGCAAACAGTATTCCAAGGGCCACTGTGCCAATAGATCTGTACAGCAGCATTACAGTGTTTGTTTCCCACCAGCAACCTGTTCTTTTCACTTTTCTAAAGTTTTTTTTAGTGTGAACCTGAGGACCTTGGAAAGCAGATGTCATCTTTCCTGATGCATCCTCCCTGTTTGTAGGAAAACTACTTCAAAGCCTCCCTTATCTCTGTCATGGTCCTGCCCACCACCACCTCACCTCTGTCTGCAGACCTTCTTCCAGCAAGTTTACTGATGTCCATAGGGGTTTGCATCTGCCTGGGTACATTCCAGCATTTATAAAGAAACCCTAAGCCCAACCGATAACATGCTCCTAACCCTGAGAGGAAGAAGCTTATTAGTGCAAGAAATGTGCAGATAACGGTGTCAAGGAACAAAGGAGAAGAAGATGGGTCCTTCATGGAGTGTAGGACTGTCCCTGGCCTTGATAGTAAAATGGAACTCCCAGGCTCGGAGGTCGTGTACCTCTGCTACAAGATCTTGGGGAACAGCTAACAAGAGGGAGGGCATTTCCTTCACGGCCTCTTTGTTGGCTTCTCAGAGACTGGTGTGATGTAGTGGTTAGAGTGTTGCACTAGGATCTGGAAGCCCTGGATTCAGATCCCCCCCACTCTGCTATGAGGGCAGCGGTGGCTCAGAGGTTAAGATGTTGAGCTGCAGACTGGAAGGTCAGTAGCTCGGCAGTTCGAGACCCTAGTGCCGCGTGACGGAGTGAGCTCCTGTCTCTGGCTCCAGCTCCTGCCAACCGAGCAGTTTGAAAGCAAGAAATTGCAAGTAGATAAATACGTACCACTTCGGTGGGAAGGTAACAGCATTCCATGCACCTCAGCTGGCCACATGACCACGGAAACATCTTCGGACAACGCTGGCTCTTTGGCTTGGAAACGGAGATGAGCACCACCCCCTAGAGTTGGATTTGACTGGCTTTTGAGCAAGGGAAACCTTTGCTTTTTACCCTTTACTCTGCTATGAAACTTGCTGGGTGATCTTGGGTGAGTCTCTCAGTTTAACTTCTCTCACAGGGTTGCTGTGAGGGTAAAATGGGAGGGTGGAAACCTGTGTATGCCACGCTGGACTCCTTGGAAGAGTAGCATGATATATATATATATATATTAGTTAAGTAGCACCAAAGGGGTGTTTGCTTGTGTTTTGACAAGAGGATAAAGAGCGCCTACCTGAGCCTCGTGGTTGCCATGCTGATCTCCTCCCTCGATTGCCCGGGTGCCACAACCAGTGTCCCCATGGTGTATCGGTCCTTATATTTTTTCACCCAGGGGCAGTTGGAGCCGACAGCCATTTCATACCATTTCCCGTAGAACTAAGAGGTTAAAAAGAGAGAGCACTTCACCAAACCTTCAGAAAAGGTTGAAACAAGCAAAGTAGAAGCACCAGGCATTGAACCTATAGGCTTTGCCACTGAGCTACAGGAAACAACACCTGCACGCATCTGTGAGAGAATCAGGGAAGGTCATGCACAAACAGCTCATATTTAATATGCTAACTGCAGCCAAAAAAATAATAATCTTGATTGCATCTTTTTTGGAAACAAATCTATTTATCTCCAATACGTGTATGGAAGTAGGACCTGGGAGATCCTGGTTCAAATCCCCACTCTGCTATGGAATTTAACCTTGGGCTAGTCACTAATAATAATTATCGTATGGCATTCAGCAACAATAGCCCATTGAAGAACCTAGCTGTAAGCATAGTATCATAATGGAGTGAATCAACAGTGATACTTTTGATACATCACCAAGAGAAATGAATTGTTGAAAGACAGTTTATGTATACATCCTTGTTCAGAAGAAGATCGTTTGTCGAAACGGCAGATCATTCCGTAGACCACCATCTACTTTCACCAAATATAGTGTTCACCTATTTTGTTATTGTAAATTGATATGATTCTTGAATATATTATTAGCATTTATTTGTCACAGGTTTTTTCCCCCGCTGGTCTATTGACTGTGCCCATCCTTGTGACTATTCATTGTGTGTAGAATAGCCAGGAGATCCTAAGATTGTCTGGCAGGCAGACGTTCTAGCTCTTTAGCATTATGCACCACTAGGTGGTGAGCAAGCTATGTGTCAGAGGAGTTTTGCCATTGCCTGCCTCTGCGTCATTCCTTGGAGGTTGCCTTTCCACATACTAGTCAAGGCCAACCCTGCTTAGCTTCTGAGATCTGACGGGATCAGGCTAGCCTGGGCTATCCAGCTCCAGGCAGACTAGTCACTGTCTAACCTACCTTGCAGATGGTTGTGAGAATAAAATGTAGGACAGAAGAATGGTGTTGTAAGCTTCTTTGGGTCCCCATTGGGGAGAAAAGTGGAGTATAAGTGTATTAAAAACAGAATTTGGAAGATTATGTGAATAAGTGACTGCATACAGCTTTGGAATGGGCGAATCATTGCAGAAATTGTATTTAAAAGAGGGTGGCAGCCAGTTCTAGATTCCTGGAACAGGATAACAACAAAAGAGTGTGCTTGGATTTGAGGATGGTGACTTTTCATTTATAGAAACAGGGATTATAAAAGATTATTGTATGAAAAGTTAGTCCAGTCACACTTTAAAGACTGACAAGATTCATTCCAGCATTATTATGAGTCATAATTCACTTAATCAGCTACATGTGCACATCCATAGCAGGTGTATTTATACTGGCGTAAATACTGGAATAAATTTTGTTACTGCCTCTTGACTTCTGTTTTATTTTCCTACAGCAAACGCACAGTTACCATTCTGGAAAGGGTTTTTTTTAATGGTAATTCCATTCAGTTTTGAATGCAAAGTTTAAGCCGAGAATGGATGGGTTTTAATTAAAAAATTGGGGGGGGGGGAATTGAGGTAACAAAGCTCAGTGCCCTGCTGGCCACCTTCCTGTGTGTGGTTGTGTCAAAACTGGATTTTCCTAAGGCAGATTAGGGGGGGGGGGTTTGATATCAGAGTTAAAACCCTTTTGATCCTAAACAGGTAACAATTCAAAGAGGTAGCTGTAGATCATCTAAAACAATCAGGGATGGAGCTATCAGAGTATGAGCTGGGCATGCATAAGGTTCCAGGTTTAGTCCCTGGACTCATTGAGGTATACGATTACCAGTGGCAGAGGCTGGAAAAGGCTTTTCTGTGCCTGAGATACCAGAGGACTGGTCTGCACTATTGAATTAGATGGACCAATGGTCAGAATTAGGGTACGGCAGCTTCATGTGCCTATATGGCCTGTGGCTCTCCTTTCCAAGCAACTGATTTACATGCAGATGATTGTACATACAGTCTCTGGAATCTCCAGCTAGGCAGAAGCAGTGGGGAAGATCTTTCTTTACAGGAAACTTTGGAGACTAGACAAAACCAGGTTGGATATTGACCAACAGGTTCCTGGTTCATATGAACCATGACAGGCCATGGCAGCAGAGGGGTTGAAGGAACACTGATCCGAGAAGTCCCCAGTTCAAATCTTGCTGCTGCCATGATCCCACCAGCTGGCTTTGTGCCAATCATTCCCTCTTGGGCTCAATACTTCTGTCCCATTTGCAATATGGGGATAACCTTTAGGGGGAGGATTAGTGATAACCCCATGCTTTGCAGGCAGAAGTTCTCCAGATTTGGCCCCGGCCTCTCCGGTGACAAGGATCTCAGGCAGCAATTACTCCTCCTTAGACCCTGCTGCCAGTCTCAGTAGAGAACGCAAGGCTTGGTGGACCAAGAGCTTGGCTCTATATAAGGCAGCTTTGTGCATCTGAGCTGAATACCAATTGCTTTCCTTGAGGAGAAGCCCGAGGGCATTGGTCTGAATTGCTGTGTAGTTCCAGTTCTGATGAGAGAATCTAGAGTATTCCTTGTTCTAACATCCTAACACAAGGCAGTCCCCCCCTCCCAGCCCCTGTAATCATTACCCTCTCCTCGTCAAAATTCTCCTGGACTTGAATATCCTCAGCAGTTGAGATGGGGTTCCCTCCGGCTGGGGTAAAGGCCACTGCAAAGATCAAGAGGAGAAACGCCTGGAGCTTCATGGCTGCTGGGTTGGTTCTGCTACTGGGTTGCTGAGAGGGAGACCTGGCTCTGGACCACAGTTATGGTGCTGTTTGCTTGACTGTGAAGAAATGTGAACTTTGGCCTTCTAACTGAAGAGGGGGGTGGTGAACAGTTTCTGGTTCTGTTGAGGAGCTGTTGGCAAAAATCTTGCTGGTGTATTAAAAGGTGGAGGCATTTACCTGCCAAAAAAAATGTAACCGGATGCAGAAGTAGAGGTGATTTCATCCTAATTACTCCCTAGTCGTGATCAGCAATGTTTGTTCTTCCTTTTAACATCAGCTGCCAGATTGAGTTTAAAGGGGGACGCAGTTATGGGGGGGGGATCAGATTGTTTTATGTTGCCCACGTCACTCCCACTGGAAGGACGTTTTTGGGGCAGCTTTTCCAGGTCACTTTAACAGTAAGGAGGAAGTTCATCAGATGCACATTGCTGTGGGTGGGAAACCTTTCCTGTTTCCTACTTGTACTGTTGTAAATCAAATGTACAGACCGAGCAGGTGGGAAGCAAGAATGGATGGAGGCAGAACTGATCCTCCAGAAATATCAGTTCAGTCCCACAGTATCTTAGAAGCGGCTATGACCAGCCAGAAACCTTTCTTAGCAACCCCTTGCAGCTAACTCCCAACTTAAAACAGGTCTCTCTCACTCTCCCTGCTTATTTCCAAGAGTGTGTGGTCCTTTCAACCACTTTCCCAGCAGGGTGTCTGTCATACAACGTTTTAGAGGCTTGCAGTGCCACCAGCCACCAAAGGCCACGAAGCAGGATTCTGTGGTACCCCATCAGATGCCAAAAGGGCTATTCCACAGAAACAAAAGGTATGGTTAAAATAATATGCTAGTTTGGTTCTTGCTTGCAGTGCTAAAACAGTCATGGTCTTGCTGCGGAGTACAAAAAGGTCATCTCTGAGCAATGGAAGAGGGCACGCGGCCTTGTTCCTCTCTGGACATAAAGCCAGATTACACTGGAGACTCAAAACCTTAAGGATATTTGCATGGTCCTTGCTGTCAGTGCTTCTTTTAGTTCTGTTTGGGACTTCTTCATAAAACAATAGGAACCCCCCCCCCCCGTTACCAACCAAGGGGGTCCCTACCTGAACCATGCTGTGTGATTTTCACACAGACATTTGGCCAAACTGGCACTGCCTGATAGGGTTGCCGGCTCTGGGTGGAGAACTACCTGGAGATTTTGGGGGTGGAGCCTGAGGAGGGTGGGGGTTGGAGAGGGGAGGGATTTCAATAGGGTACAGTGCCAGAGAGTCCACCCTTCAAAGCAGCCATTTTCTCCAGGGGAACTGATCTCTGTCGCCTGGAGATCAGTTGTAATAGTGGGAGGTCTCCAGCCACCACCTTGAGGTTGGCAAACATACTGCCTGGAGGACATCTCTGCCCTGCTCTTTATGTGTTTACTCCCAAGCAATTATTAACTAAAGTAAACAGGAGGGAGAATCAGCAAACATCAAATGTTGTAAACCCGCTTCAGGTTCTTAACCTCTGCTTTGAAGTACGATTGCAACAACGGGGTCTGTGGCCAAAGGCCTCGGATTGCCAGGAATCAACATATGGAATTCTAGCCTTGCTTGCTTTTCCACATCCATTCCAGACAACAACACATGTGCCCTCTCCTCCAGCGTGTAACGTTATTTTCCATCTAAAGTGGTCGCTCTTCCTTTTCCCTCACAGAAGCTATGGTACTTGTTCACATTCCGTGGCTGGCCCCTCCTCTACAGCAGTTTGAATATTTGTGACATCCCAGCAGCTCAGCCAATTGGCTTGGTAAGGCGTGTGCTCACCATCTTGTGGCACAATGATTTCTCTTTAAATGATTTAATTCTTTGTCGTAACTTCCTTAGTATCTGTGAGGACAAGGTTCCTTTGAGAGTTGGGTGGCGAGGAACCAGAGATTTAGGAAGGGTGTGGTTGTCCAGCAGAGGAGCTTCAGGAAGTGAGCAGAAAGTCTCTCTACAAAGGAAGTCCTCTGGTTAATCATGTTAATAAAATGTTAATTATAGAATAAAGATTCTTGTATCATTTACCAGATAGAGAAAACCATAATATCTACCACTACATTCAATTTGTGTGTATGAGGACAGAGTAAGAATGAGAGTGGGGTGGGAGAAATCAGCTTTAAGGGTTTAATCAAAGCCATGTCTCCCTATGCTTAAATTCAGAATCTCAGCCCTGCAATATAAATGTGTCTCTGAACATATACAGAGAGTACATCTCTTGCTATAGTAGTAACAACTACCACCTACATGTTTAGGATTAGCAGGGCTATTTTTGGGCAGGAACGCACAGGAACGGAGTTCCGGCTGGCTCCCGAGTTGGCCACGCCCAGCAGGAACTCATTAGCATAATAGGCCACACCCAACAGCAGAAACTCATTAGGATTGGCTACATTAGGGGTGTGTGGCCTAACATGCAAAGGGTTCATGCTACAAAAAAAGGCCCTGGGTTTTGACAACAAACAAGGTAAACAGAATAACAAGCAAAAGGTGGGTGTGGCTGGATAACCACATTTCTGGCAAAAGGGGGCTGCGACCTAATGTGCTAATGAGCTGTGCTGGCAGGGGTGTGGCCTAATATGCTAATGTTTTTCTGCTGTTGGGTGTGGCCTATTATGCTAATGAGTTCCTGCTGGGCTTTCTCTCCAAAAAAATAGCCCTGAGGATTAGGATTAGTTTTTTTACTATGGAGCAAAACCCCTTGAGCAAAGTTAGACAGCTGGAGGATGTGCATGCGAAATCCTGAGGTATATGGTAGGGCTGCTATGACAGACTCCTGGCATTTTCCCACTAACAGACAGGTTTTTCTGCCAAAAATTTGTTCCCAACTGTGACTGAGCAGCTCCAAGTAGTGTGGATTTAGTTATTGTTTTAAAAGTCTGTCTTTCCCACCCCATCATGAAGATTTAATTTGTCATTTATTTATTTATTTAATAAATTTGTATCCCGCCCTCCCCGTCATGGCAGGCTCAGGGCGGCTTACAGTATATAAATGTATATTAAAGCACCAGAATATGTTAAAACACAGAAATAAATTAAAGCCACAGCATATAAAATCATAAATTCTCAGAACATAGATGTTAATTTTGAGCCCAGCCCAGAAACTTGATGGTAGAAGCAAGAGCCCTCTTGTTTTTCCCATTCAAATGGGAGAAATAACAATTTTATTTAATAGGCAGGGATTGAATAAGTGTAGTCAGAGCAGGGGTCATTTGGGGGGGGGGACGCGGGGGGACGCCATCCCCCCGGGGGGGGGGCGGGAGGGCGGGGCCTGGAGCTCCCTGCTGGTGCCCGCTGGAGGTCGCCACCGGCTGTGGGGAGGACACACTTCTGGTGATGTCAGGGGGTGTGGCATATACTAATGAGTTGTGCTAATGAGTCCCCCTAGCTCTTTTTCTACGAAATGACCCCTGAGTCAGAGGTTGGAAATGCTGAGGTAAGAATCGTCGTTAATACAGATTATACTTCTTTTACAATCAAAATAGTGTTGTTGAAGCTTATTTTCAAATATTCTTGGATCTTAACAGTGAGAGGTATTTGACAGTATTTTAGGTACAGTTACAACTTTTCTTCATATAGTTTCTATGACTCTTCAGGTTTCCTGGAGACTGTCTGTTCATTTGTGTACCTAAACTCTCCCCCTTTTGGAACCACAGTTTATTTCAGTATCCTGAGTTTTCTCAATCCAATTCCCAACAGACCAGGGGTCTCCTCGGAGCAAAACCCCCAGTGTAACTGGGCAGGAATTCTTTTTCTTCTTCTCAGAAGAGATAACCCTTTTCTTTTGGCCTGAATGGGAGTTTCAGCATATTACCCAATTGCCCTCGCCAAAATCTCAATCCCAGTTCTTGTGTCTGTGCAAAACGGACTTCAGTTTAGGCTGACTCTCAGATGTTCAGTGCTGATACTGAATTCTTCCTCAGAGTTGATAGAAAACAGTTAAGGCAAGGAGTCATTTCCCTTCACTCCAAAGGTGAACCTGGCTGACTGACTTTGTCAGACTCACTGACTCCAACTGACAGAAATCGACTGTCTGTTTTCCCAAAGACCAACTGGCCAAATGACTCCAAAAAGACCCTGTCCTCAGCACTCAGCTAATCATATAGTTCTCCTCAGCTGGTGCTGGCCAATCAGTGAGTAAAGAGGAAGAAGGGAGCATCCTGTCACTCAAGCTCTCCGTTCCAGTGAACAGTTCGCTCTTCACCGCCCAGCTCTCTGAAATTGCTGCACTAGGCAACCTGTTGTTAAGAGCAGTCCGTCACAGCTGCGCATTAATTTAAAAAGAAATAAAAAAGCAAACAACCCCCCCCCATCTATATGCATTTGGGTAGCAAAATGAATGGACCTCTGTCTCTATGACTTAAAGCCATCTGTGCTTGTGGCCATCATGGCGGTGCATTTCACAATTCTTTTCTTCATTGAGTAAAGAACTATTTTTTTGTCACATAAGAACACATTATAAAGCTGCCTTCTACTGGATCAGATCCTTAGTCGATCAAGATCAGCATTGTCTACTCAGACATTAATTTTTTTTAACTTCAGAAAATGTTACCAATTGGTTAGTGAACACTTTCCTTTGAAATATCCCAGTGCATTCTGTAAGCTACCGCTGACCTCGTTAGGCACCCTGCGATGCTTATTCATAATATTTAAAAGAAGAATTTTTCACAGGACCTCTTAAAACCAAGGAGGGCAACAGTGATCTTCAAAGAAAACGCACCCTGAGACAGGTCATATCTCCTGTGAGCAGATCAGGTGGTACAGTCTGGGGGTGCGACCAGTGCTGAGAGGGAGGGACACAAATGTCCCGTCTTAAAAAAAATATCCAGAAATATTCCTGTTCTTAAGAAAGCAGAGCTCTGTCAGCAAGCTGCCAATGTTGTTTTCTGTTTCACTACCCATTCGCATAATTTTCCATGCGTTTAATTGCTTACCGCTGTAACACACCATGTATCTTTCAAGGCCACAGGAGGAGTAGCAAAGGAGATAGCTTTGGCTGTAGCTGGGATGAGCCGTGGGAAGCTCGCACCTGTTTATGTTTTGGGGACGGTTAGTTCTCAAGCGTCCTGGCGTGTGCGGGAATCATCCCGATTGGACATTATTGCTTTGAATGTACTATAACCCAATATGCGCATAGCTAACCCTCATTCCTAACAGTGTTCCTGTACATGTATCTATGGCTTCAATAAAAGTATAACCTTCTAGCAAGTGTGTACTCCATTGTTGCTGTGGGACCTGACAAGCTCTTATTTTTCCAATGGAAACCCATCATGCCACTAATTCAAAAGCCCAGTCATTCCTCGGTGGGACACCTCCAGCTACAAAGACGTGCTCTGCAGAGCTTCAGTCTGAGGCCCCGCCCTGCAGGTGGGTTGCCCATTTAGGAAACATCTATTAAAGAAATACCAAGACTCTTTTTGCCAGATCCCAAGCAAGAGACCCAAGCAAGGTGAGCAAACCTGATCCTTAAAGGGTATTGCACTAACCAAGCCTGGAAGTTTGAGAGTGTTGGGGAGATTCCTGTTTGCACCAGCCCTAAGCAAGAGAACAGCCTGGGGAACGGGGCCTGCCATTCTGGAATTCTGGTCATTACAATGCTGGGATTCTAAGACAGCAGCCATTCTTGAGAACTGAGTGAGGTCTAATTGCATCACAATCTCCCGTCTGATGTCACAGAACCAAGTCAAAGCCTGGTCTGACACCCATGTTGGTGGTGGGTGGCAAAGGGGATAGATATCTTAATCTCTGCACAGGTTTCCAAACGTCAGGTGGAGGTGCCCAGGCTCGATCACCATGAAGTTCCAGAAGAAAAAAGACCTTAAGCAGCAGATTCACCAAATGCGGAAAATTATAGCTGTCCAAGGTAATCCTGCCTGCTTTTGTGACTCTGTAGATTAATGCACTTAAAAAAAAAAAAAAAAGATTCTCCGGACAACTGTGAATGTACAACCTTTTGCACGGCCCGATAAGCAGACAGCCTAGTTTAATCAGCCATAAAGACACCAATGATTTGCTTAAAAAGAAACTGATTTTGTGAGGCTTGGTTAGAGGAGAAATAGACAGTTATACAGGGTACACTGGAATCTTCCAGGATTGTAGCGTTGCTGTGCCTGGACTGAATGGGCACCTGTCCTTTTAAGACTTGCATAATAGGAAGAGAACGGTTTGCCAGTGTGGCCCAGTGGCCAGAGGGCAGAATTTGTCCTGCTTCTGCCAATGGCTGCTGTATAGCTTTGGAGAACAGCCAGATTCCAGTCCAGTAGCACCTTAGAGACCGACAAGGTTTTTTGGTATGAGCTTTCGTGAGCCAAAACTCCCTTTGTCAGAAACCAAGTTTTCGAGAGTCAAAAAGAGCTTTGGCTCTGGAATGCTTGTAACCCTAAAATCGTTTTGGTCTCTAAGGAGCTACTGGAATTGGATCTAGAAGAAGAAGAAGAGATTGGATTTATACCCCGCCCTTCACTACCCAAAGGAGTCTCAGAGCGGCTTACAAACTCCTTTCCCTTCCCCTCCCCACAACAGACACCCTGGGAGGTAGGTGGGGCTGAGAGAAACTGCTCTTTTTTCAAGAACAGCTGTGCCAGAACTGTGGCTTGCCCAAGGTCATCCAGCAGGCGCAAGGGGAGGAGTGGGGAATCAAACCCGGTTCTCCCAGATTAGAGTCCGTGCACTTAACCACTCTAGTTCCAGCTCCTGCCAACCTAGCAGTTTGAAAGCAAGAAATTGCAAGTAGATAAATAGGTACCACTTCGGTGGGAAGCAATGCTCCCTCTAAGCTGTGGAGTCTCGTGAGCAACAATTCTACTTTGTGAGTGACTGGCATTAAAGCTTTGAGCGAGCGATTTGGCTGCTGCATAAATCAGTCTGCTCTGGAGCCATCCTTCCTGAGCTGAGACAAAAATGTGTGAGCCGGAGGCTAAAAAGCTGTGAGCTAGCTCACAATAACTCAGCTTAGAGGGAACACTGGTGGGAAGGTAACAGCGTTCCGTGCGCCTTGGTGTTTAGTCATGCCGCCCACATGACCACGGAAATGTCTTCGGACAGCGCTGGCTCTTCGGCTTTGAAATGGAGATGAGCACCGCAACCCTAGAGTCGGATTCGACTGGCTTTTGAGCAAGGGAAACCTTTACCTTTACCTTACTTAACCACTACACCAAACTGGCTTAACCATTATACCAAACTGGCAGGCCAGCACAGCTACTCTTTGAAACAATCTCCATGGAAGGCTTTGGAGAAGTTATTCTAAACTTCTATGCTGCATTGGCTGTTATCAGTCAGGGTGTCCCAGGTGCGAATCTCACCACAGACTCACTATATTTGTGGCCTTAGACAAGCCTCCCTCTCTCTCCCTCTCCCTCCCTCCCTCCCT